AGATTTCTGATTTTGCACAGATTCATTAATGTAATAACTGATAACTCTTACAATTTGGATGCTTTCATTTAATGGCAGATACAATTTTGCTAGAACAGCTGTATTACTTCCGGAATCGCAAGGTTCCGGAAAGTGATTTACGTCACTGTTACTTTTACCCCCAAATTTACTACATTCTTTCTTTACTGGCAAGTCGACGACTATACTACATTATACGACACATTTCAAGTATCAAACATATGAAAAAGTATGAATACTGGATATGTGGCCATTAGGTGAACAAATATAACTTCACTTCACTGTATCCAAAAGTACTATAGGTGCGTCACTCTAGCTTTATTAATGCTGAATTCGAATATTCCTGTACATTATGAACGTTTCAAATATCAAACATATGACAAAGTAGAACGTTTAATTTGTGGCCATTAGGTGACTAAGTATAACTTCACCTTCCTGTAAGCAAAAGTACTATAGGTACGTCATTCTACTTTTACTAATGCTGAATTTAAATGTTCCTGTACATTATGAACGTTACAAATGTCAAACATATGACGAAGTGTGAACGTTGAATGTATGGCCATTAGGTGAATAAGCATAACTCTCCCTCTTTGTATCCAAAATCCACTATTGGTGTGTCATTCTACTTTTACTAATGCTGAATTTGAATGTTCCTGTACATTATAAACGTTTCAAGTGTCAAACATATGACAAAGTGTGAACGTTGAATGTATGGCCATTAGGTGACTAAGTATATCTTCACTTTTCGTATCCAATGACATTGAAATAAGAACTCTGACTGTTTTTAGTAATCGGGATAAAGCTTTCGGGTCCTTGGATCTTGTCTCGTAACTTCAAAGAAACATCCTTTTGTCTTTTGTTTCAGAAAGCGTTTCTTCAAAACAGATCGATGTCCCTAGTGGACATGTATATCGACAACTCGGAGCCCAGCGAGAACGTTGGACAAATACACTTTAGCCTCGAATATGACTTTCAAAACACTACGCTTATCCTACGTATTATACAGGTCAGTGGTTCGCCACGTGTACCTACGTACATATTTGTCTTACTTAGCTCGGAGCGCCGCGAGCGGATCTCTAGGAAGTTGAACAATTACAAACCTCGAGAACACGTATGAAAAAAGTGATCGTTCGGTTTGCAGGGTAAAGATTTACCAGCGAAGGATCTGTCGGGGACGTCTGATCCTTACGTTCGCGTAACCCTCCTGCCGGATAAAAAGCACCGGCTCGAGACGAAAATCAAGAGGCGCACGCTGAACCCTCGATGGAACGAGACATTTTATTTCGAAGGTAAACCATTCTTTTCTCGTTCTCTCGCTTATCAGATGTTTCATGCATATGAATATTTTTATACGAAGCGTGTTTCATAATTTCGTCATTTTGAGAAGATCTGAATCTCTTAATTTGCATTTCTTGCATATTAATGTTCAATGGCGTGTTGAGGAATGCATCAGGAATGAAGTCAAGATAGGGTATATCGTTTCCTTTGGTTGCGCGCAGGTTTCCCGATCCAAAAGTTACAAAGCAGGGTGCTACACTTACACGTGTTCGATTACGATCGATTCTCGAGGGACGATTCAATCGGGGAGATGTTTCTTCCGCTTTGTCAGGTAATTTCCGACGTGCTCGGACCGTTTGATATTTTCAAAGGACGAACGGGCGTAACAATCGGGGTACGAACGCGTGCTTAGGTCGACTTCTCTGAGAAGCCCTCGTTTTGGAAGGCTTTAAAACCGCCGGCAAAGGACAAGTGCGGGGAACTGCTGTGTTCTTTGTCATACCACCCGAGCAACTCCGTGTTGACCCTCACGCTTTTGAAGGCGAGGAACCTCAAAGCGAAAGACATAAACGGGAAATCAGGTGAGCGACCCGTTCAGCCGATCCACTGCGAGGGGCAGGCTAGGCTAGGCTAACAATGGCCCCTCTTCTCTTGTGTTCAGATCCGTACGTGAAGGTCTGGTTACAATTCGGCGATAAGAGGATCGAGAAACGGAAGACCCCTATATTTAAGTGCACCCTGAACCCGGTGTTCAACGAGGCTTTCTCGTTCAACGTACCCTGGGAAAAAATCCGAGAGTGCTCATTGGACGTTATGGTGATGGACTTCGACAACATTGGTCGAAACGAGCTGATCGGACGGATTCAGCTTGCAGGTAATCTTCTCTTCCCATTTGCAATTCTAATTCTTAACTGTTGATCTAACAAGTGGTATTTATAAAGCTGAGACTTCTTTTAACTTTTGGGACTGACTGTAGAGCCAATATATCCTTAAATCAGATTAACACTAAATTGCCCAAGAAAGTCATTTTGACTGGTTTTGGGCAAATGTACAAGTAATTTTTTTTTTTTGCAATAATGCATAAATTATTTTTTTTTCCCAAGTG